TGTTTATTTTCTTATTCTTCTTGTTTCTTTTCTTTTGCCTCCAACAACTACTGTAATCTCTCTTGTTTATTTTGCTGTTCGAGTTGCCACTGTTGCAGGTTTTCTTGTCACTGCTGTTGTCTCTCTTCTTGTTTCTTTTCTTTTTCCTCCAACAACTGCTGTAATCTCTCTTCTTGTTTATTTTCTCATTCTTCATTGTTTTTTTTTCTTTTCCTCCAGCAACTGCTGTAGTCTCTTTTCTTGTTTATTTTCTCATTCTTCTTGTTTCTTTTGCTGTTCTTGTATTGCTGCCATCAAATCTACTAAGCTTTAGCTTGATTTGCCACTTCTCATTTCCATCTTCTTTTTTTTCTTTTCCATCCCACTTCTGACACCAATTTGTTATGTATCTGTTTGTTAATTTCCGGTATAACTTCTTTCTGAGGAACTTCAGTGATACAAGTCCTTTTTTGATTAAACCAGTTTATTTTTTCTCGATGCAAACTCTTATTACACACTATTTCCACAGACAGTACGTTTCTCTTCACTTTAAACTAAACAACTTCTATAAATCACCGCGATTCACAACTTTGATAACTTCCCTCTTGACGAGTATAAAACACACACTTTTATCTTCCCAGTGGCTTTCTCTGCCAAGCTTATATACTAAAGAAAAGGCATCTCGATAACACTCGAGTTTCCCTGATGATTCGAGAAACTCATTCATGCATGGGCTAGCAGCGTCACGTGACTTCCGCTGTCGTAATAGTATTATTACTTGTAGCGGTACTAGTAGTAGTAATATTTAGTTAAAAGCTATTTTTAATTTAAATTTTAAAGTTTGACAATATTATTCTAACCCTTGTTGCAGTAGTATTAGTAATAGTATTGTGGTAAGGCACCAAACATTCAATGTAAACACATGAGAACTTTGATTTAACCAATAACAGATAACTTTATTGAAAATATGTCATAGTCATTTCAGTATTACAAATTGCAGAAGGTCATAGCTTGACTTGCACTCTAAAGAAAATATTTCACAGATTTTTGTCATAATTCCATTATTTCTGTTTTAGTCTTTCAACAAACATTAAAATGTTATTGCAAAGATTAACCAGACTGTACAGGAACCCAAAAGTACTATTTATTATAAATGTGGATTGTTTATCAACAAAATACCAAATGTAAGTAACATTAGTTGTCAGTTTAGGCCTAGACATAGCTGGGTACCAAATGGGAGCTTGACTATTTCAAATAGTATTTGCCTAGTAGCCATGTATTAATATGGAATTGGGCTAGTTGCAGAGGAATATCAATAATTTTGAGTAGAAATGTTATCTTACTAAAAAAATTGAATATATATATTATAGGAACTTAAGAGGGGAATTTATGATTTCTTGAAAAATAAGGAATAGATGTAAATGTTTACTTTTCGGAAAGGTGGGTGAGGCAAGGACAGTCTTGAATGATGAAGTGGCCCCTTGGACATTGCTATATTGTCAAAGTTATTTAAGGTTTTTTTGTAAATAGTTCTTCAGTTGATATTTCCAAAGAATTGGTGTGAATTAAAATATTGTTAAATACTTATCAAATGTTTTTAATATAATTTCTCACCAGAGATTGATTGAACAGAAGCTCAAAAAATTGTATTTGGACCTAAAAATTCAAGACAAAGAAGAGCTGACATTGAAAAAACTAAAAGCTGATGGAAAAGATAAGGATGGATTAAAAGAAGCTGAACTGAGAAGAAAACTCACTGGTTGTGTTTTATTATTAATCCTGTCCTGTAAAGAAATTTATGAATTTTTTATACCACATTGTATGCATATAGCCAAAAGATATGTTATTAATAACCTAACTGGATCTTTAACACAAGGAAACTGTTAGAATACTTACTATTCTCAGGTAAAACAGTTACTAATACAAATGACACTTTTTATTCTAGTTCACAACTCTGGCAAGCTGTTTAAAATTTTTAACAATAATGTTGCCTTTCATTTCACACTAACAAGGTAGTAAATACTTGATATTCTGCTTCACAACACCAATAAATTAACTTTAAAATTCTGACAGTAATATTGCCTCTCATTTCATGCTAACAAGTTAGTAATTATTCAACAGCCTTAGGGTTTTCACTCTGTCAAGAAATAGAAAACTTATTTAAGTTTATTTCACTAATTTACAGTTTCACTGGAAGAAACTAGGAAATCAATACTTAGTTGCAAGTTAAACCACTCCCAAATTTCCATACATATAATTTCTTTCAAACTTGCTATCTAAACCACCTCTCTCTATATCCCCTCTCACCTAAATCAGCCACTATACTGCTCTACAGTACCAAGTAGCATTAATAATTTAATTTCAGAATTGATAAATAGTTCATCAATATTTGAAACTAATGTTTGGGGAAGCTGTTCCTTTCTATAACCAGCTTCTTTAGAGCTAGAGATAGAAAATGTGTTCTTGTTACTTTCAGGATATACTCAATTAGGTAAATATTACCTTCTTCCCAAGACCAGTATTTTTTAGAGGTAGATGGTATGCTTCCAGTCTCTTCATGACCTAATAAAGGTAGGAAAGCTTTACCTTCTTCCCAAGACCAGTTTTCTCAGATATAAACATTTGGGGAAGAAGGTAAAGCTTTCCTACCTTATTATGTCATTGTCTATATCTGAGGAAACTGGTCTTGAAAAGGTTTGAAGTAAAAATGACATATTCAGATAGTAAAGCTTTACCTTTTTCTCATGATCTGTTTGTAGGGATAGACAATTGGGTTCCAGCACTTTCATGACATATTCAGGTAGTATACAATTGATACAGGTAACCAGTACCTAATTCTATACTATATTACAATGTCTTACTTAATGAATTGTTTTGGTTAAAAGATACAGAGTTTTTATACATGTTTGAACTACTACTAAACTATTTAAAATCTTGCAGGTAGTATGTCCCAATTCTCATTTTTTAGTGAATTTGCTTAGCAGATATAATGTTTATCTGTTTTTCAGTTTTGAGTGTTGTTTACTGCCATTTTCATAATATTTGTAATAAGATAATGAACAAAAGATTAATTGCTTACTTAGGTCCTATGTATTTTGAAAATATTTTAGTATTTGATAAATTCTAACATTGGTTTTTCTTAAGAATATGTTTTGGGATTTTTGTTCCTAATATTTATAAAAACACCATGAATTAACTCATGAAAACTAAAACTGTTGAATGATTTGATTCAAAAGAATGTCAGTAGCTTATTGAGTGGTTGAGACGATAATCACTATTTCAGTAATACTTGTGTTGTATATTGTTAACTAGAAAAGATAGATATTAAAGATTTTTTTTCTTCAGGTATTATGAAAAAGTATGGTCTGGGAGATGATACTAAACTTCAACCAGAAACTGTATATGATCAGGTGTACAATGATCCTTCTGATGATTATCTCAACAAAAGACTTTTTACAGACAAAAAGTTAAACAAGTTATGGTGGAAAGCTGAAAAGTCGGAATTTACAGGTAATATTTTTAATATGTAGATTTTGGTAGGGTAATTGGTCTTTTTTCTTGGCCATTTCTGTCAGATGGAAGTGGTTGGTCATTTTTCTTATGACTATTTCTGTGACATGTTGTTATCAATATAAGCAATGTAGAGGTAGCATCCATTAATTATGTGATGATTATTTCTTTGAGTTGCAGGTTTATATATAAATATTTTACAAGAGGACAGAGTTTAAGATTACAGAAGTACAAATCTATATCCATCATAATAAGTAAAAGTTTTACAGATGAAGAGCTTAAAAAATTGAAGGAAGAATTCCAACATCATGAGGAAAAAATCCAGCAGTACCACACCTTAGTGGAGAAGGCTAGCCAGGGAGCTGAGTTACAGAATGGTATGTCACAGTTTGTAAGAAAATAATTCTGTAAATAGTGAAGGTCTTTAAATAGACAGTGATCACTGTTTACTTTACACAGGCATTATTGTGCCTTTTGTGTTGTGGAATCTGTAAAGGAACAAGGATAATTTGTCACATATTAAGTAAAAACACGTTTCCTTTGTCAGGGTAAAATATTTCTAACACCTTCACACTGCCTAGAGTAAAAGTTTCACATGTTACTACTGTAAAAATAAAAAAAATTTCCTACTTTCAATAATCGTTACAAATTCTACCTTTGAGGATCAAAAAACAGTTTGTTACATGTTCTCACTGTCAGGAGCTATTTGTCTGAAAAAATAATACAGGATGTTATTCAATGAATATATATTTTGTACTTGAATAAAGATTTCATTGCCCAACAATGAAGCTGTCTTTGTACACATACACAGTGAACTAAATGTTTACAGCAATTGAATATCAGCCATTGTCATGGTTAGTAACTATTTTATTATTTAATATTTTGTTATCATTAAGCCTAATTATTCAGTGCTTCATGTTTGAAAAATGCATAAGGGTTGTAAACAGCCCCTGCCAAATAGTCCATGTGGGCTGTTTGCAGGCTGGTGCTGTATCTCAATTCTTTGTTTAAAAAATTAGACAATAAAAGTTAATTTGTATTGAATGAATTGTTCTGTTTTTATATCAACAAAACAGAGTTTTTCTGGCAAAATTGAGAGATGTTCACAGTGTGTCACTGATCTGTAGCGACCTCCGATCAATATGATAACCCTTGAGGACTCTTGTCATGCAGAAAATAGTTCATCAAATGCAAGTTAGGTCCTGATCAAGTTTTCTAAATCTCTTCTTGCTAGTAATTAATATCCATTTTTTGTAATTTAAACTTTAAAATGTTGACTTAGTTTGTCAATCACAAATATTTGATGTCCAAATACAATAATATAGTTCCACAATGGTGTATTACTGTGAATGTTACATCACTAGTTTAAGCCATTTAAAATCAAAGTATCTGAGACACAGCAGCCAAGAGGGTCACAAAGTTGTCTGCATATACAAACAACAGCTGACTGCATGGCCAATGTCATGAAAAATAATATCAAGATCTGATTTCAAAAGTATCTATTTTTTTGGTAAGAATAAAAGGACCAGAAGTGGGCCCAAAACAGCAGGTTTTACTACAGATGTGACATATGCTCTAACAAGCCCAAATAAAAATCATTTTATGGGCATTTTTGACTTGATGGTGACTGTCAAATGTGAGGGACTTATTACTAGTAATTTATTTCATTTTATTTAATATATTTCTGTGTGTATTTGTTTCTTATTTACATGTAACTAATAACTGTTACATGATCTATATACATTTACTCTCTATTGATAACAATTATGACATTACACACATCTTGTAACATGCAAACTATAGTTTTGGTTGTCTGTGATGTAATGTGAGTATCTTCAACATGTAAAGCCAAGTGAAAATTGTTTCATGTAGAAGTAACCTCCTCCTCTTCATTTAATTTTAATCCCATTCTGATATGGGGTTATCTGCTTGGGTCTTCCTTCTCCATGGATCACAGTCGTGTACAGCAGTTGTAGTTCCCCTGACCTCCTTCATATCTATTGTGAGATAGGAAATTATATTTCTTTATGATTATGGTTGTGTTTAT